GAGCAGTAGCTGANATACGAATAAAACGAAACAATGTTTTCAGGTGTGAAAATCAAATCAAATTTGTTGGCAGACACGTTTCGATGAAAATAATTTTTACTTGGAGCCTCGACAGTCGTTTCTTGCGTCGTCATTGGACCAGTGGTTTCAGTAGTTTGAGCTGTCGTTTCTGTAGCTGTTTAGTATGACGGTCAAATAAATTTAAATAGGTTTTGCTGAGTTGAAGCTATATTTAATCAATTAAGATTTATTTTAATAGTTCCAATTAAGCTGACTTGGAGGAACAACTGTTGTCTCTGTTTCTGTCGTTGACACTGGACTTGATGTTTCGATTTCCTTGGTTGTAACAGTTGTCGGAGCTTCAGTAGGTGGAGAAGCAGTAGCTGAAATACGATTAAAACGAAACAATGTTTTCAGGTGTGAAAATCAAATCAAATTTGTTGGCAGACACGTTTCGATTAAAATAATTTTTACTTGGAGCCTCGACAGTCGTTTCTTTCGTCGTCAATGGACCCGTTGTTTCAGTAGTTTGAGCCGTCGTTTCTGTAGCTGTTTAGTATGACGCTCAAATAAATATAAATAGGTTTTGCTGAGTTGAAGCTGTATTTAATCGATCAAGAATTATTTTAATAGTTCCAATTAAGCTGACTTGGAGGAACAACTGTTGTCTCTGTTTCTGTCGTTGACACTGGACTTGATGTTTCGATTTCCTTGGTTGTAACAGTTGTCGGAGCTTCAGTAGGTGGAGAAGCAGTAGCTGAAATACGATTAAAACGAAACAATGTTTTCAGGTGTGAAAATCAAATCAAATTTGTTGGCAGACACGTTTCGATTAAAATAATTTTTACTTGGAGCCTCGACAGTCGTTTCTTTCGTCGTCAATGGACCCGTTGTTTCAGTAGTTTGAGCCGTCGTTTCTGTAGCTGTTTAGTATGACGCTCAAATAAATATAAATAGGTTTTGCTGAGTTGAAGCTGTATTTAATCGATCAAGAATTATTTTAATAGTTTCAAATATGCTGACTTGGAGGAACAACTGTTGTCTCTGTTTCTGTCGTTGACACTGGACCTGATGTTTCGATTACC